TTTTTTTTTTTTTTTTTAATATCTCAGCCTTACTTGATAGGTGGTTGCTTGTGAAAATGGGAAGGATAGTATTTCAAGTTTCACTTCACTTGTCACACTTCTAGCCAGAAATACAGTTCTTTTTAAAGCCCACAGGATTTTTTTTATGAGGAAGCAAAAATGAGATAGCTGTGATTAAATGTGTTATTTTTCAACGTTTTATTGGATTTACATGATATCATTTTCTTTAGAATGTAAAATGTTGTGTTATGAACATAGGTCACTGCTCATTATATATGTACACTTTGAATAGCATGTTCTTGCTTCTGCTTGCTCATCAAATCAAAATTTTAGCACAGAATAAGAAAACTACAAACGCTTCTGCTTGCTCATCAAATCAAAATTGTAGCACAGAATAAGAAAGCTACAAAAAAGTTTCTATTTCATCATTTTTGACTTAAATTTCCTCCTGTACCTTAATGAATATTTCTGTATGGAAATACAGATGTATAGGGTAATGCTTCTGCCTTTTTTCAACAGCTTTCTCTGTACATGGATAAATTTGAAGAATTCCAGACCACCATGGCAAAGAGTAATGAACTCTTTACGACATTCAGGCAGGAAATGGAAAAGGTACTTAATATTAGACCTGCATGAAACTTAATATAAAAACGTATGCTGTTAGTAGGATGCATTTTTGGATTTCATTAGAACATTTGCCTTCTAAAATTTCACCTTGAAGATATATACAGTATTTTGAAGTTTAATTTGGATCATAAGAGGCAGTAGGGATTTCAGGAAAGAGAAATAAGGTATATTTTTTCTTTATTATTTTTAATTTTTACATAATATCTGCATCCTAATTCTAGTGCAGTCAAAGTAGTGCCTAGTCAGAGGCAGTAGGAGTTGCTCGATTTTTGTCTGCTGTGCTTTAGTTTTAAAACTTAATTGGACAGTTTTAGCTTGAGGAAGTTTCATAATCTGTTTCTTTCAGGAATCAGTCGTCTTTGAATTGCAGCTTCAGAATTTGTGGGATTGATTTGGTGCAGAAACACTTTTCTGTAAAAAATAACTTGTAATATTACTTCTGAAGTCCAGTTTGGACAATAAGTCAGAACAGTAACATATATCTACTTCTATTACAATGCAAGTCAAAAAAGTAAGCCTTCTATTTGCAGATGACAAAGAAGATTAAGAAACTGGAAAAGGAAACAATAGTGTGGCGCACAAAATGGGAAAACAACAACAAGGCTCTTCTGCAAATGGCTGAAGAGGTGAGTTGTTATCACTGTCTGTTAAGCAGCAGGATGCCTAAACTGGAGTCTGCATTCCGAAGGACGTCATACAGTATTTCAGTTTTGAACAAAAACACTACAACTCCATTACTTGTTCATGGATTCTGTCATGTTTTCTGTTGTGTAAATGGGCTGTTCTCCCCCGGAAAAACAGAAAATGAATTTAGCTTTTCAGAGTTTTGCCTGACACACAATGTAGTCGTCTTCACTTGCTCACTATTACATAGTTGGGGCAACAGTGTATATGAAATTATGCAAGCTGAATGTATTGTAGTTATTTAATCTGTTGGGCAGAGTTCTGGCAGTTCAGCCTTAGAAGTTTGTTTTTTAAATATACAATCCTTACCTGACAAAAATGACCTGTGAGACTTTGCTTACATTGCTGCTGCTTTTGAGTTCATGAGGTGCCGTTATATCTATTTGCTCTCCTTTAAGAGAAGCTAAAAATATTTTTACACAGGCCTTGCCCATACAGTTCTGACTTCTCCTTTATTTTCTAATTTCTAGTTGAGGCATATTAGTACCTTTCTAGAGATTACCTGATTGTTCCCATAAATTCCACTGTAACTCTGCTCAGCTTTTCCTGTTTCCTGAAGGCGTTATTTGGGTGATTGTGAGCACAGTAACTGTTGACTGTAGCAGCTGCTGGATTCTAGATTTCTACCTTTATTCCCTCCTGCTCCCTGCATTGCAGTTACTTGGGATGGAGTATTAAAGTGCAGTCAAGTACTCTGGTCAAACTTGTTTGAGCACAGCTGGTATTTGATCTGCAGAGCTAAATAGTAGTGATTCCTTTCATCAAATTAAAACACACTTAATTGGATCACAAAGCTTCTGTTCTGTTTTGTCCCTCAGAAAACAGTAAGAGATAAGGAATACAAAGGTTTTCAAATAAAACTGGAGCGTTTGGAGAAGCTTTGCAGAGCTCTTCAGACAGAGAGGAACGAGCTGAACGAGAAGGTGGAAGTCCTGAAGGAACAGGTTTCCCTCCGAGAGGCAGACGTGGATCTAGCCATGCAGGTGCTGCAGTCCTGCACGCTCGATTCCCACGAGGAGCTGGGAACTCCCACTGACGTGGAACCAGGGATCCAACCTGATGTCGAACCACGCGCAGCAAATAGTTCTGAAAAGACTGTCTCAACAAGTCCTGTTCCTGGCACTGAATCTGACTAAAGTGAAGTGTAAACACTGTATTGAGAGATATATTTTGTGTATAACTTTCGCTGTTGGTGGTAACTATTGGTTTTGTGGTGAAAATTTTCTTACTTTTTCTACCATATCTGTATTTTCTTAGAACTACTGGACTTATGTGGTACAAGAAGCTGCCTAGCAGCTTTAAATAGCTTAAACTATAAATTTTTCACAACTGTGTTGCACATCTGCCTCATTTTTTAAAAGAAAATATTTTTCCATAAAAGGATGCACGTGTATTTCCTCCCCACAACACAATCACTGTCATTGAAGACTGTAAGATGCAACATCCTTTCAGGGGACGATAGTGGCAGCGTGTCACTTTCTTGGTTAGAACAGTATTTTGTTTCTGTTTATGGAGTTGTCACTCAGTATACTAATATGACTACCCATTTCTTCAGTGAGTTAATTTACATCGGGATGTCTGATGGCCAGTAAAAACTTCCGTTTTCTCCCCTAGTATGTTTTCATCTATATCAATGAAAAAGTATGGGTCCAGAATGTAGTAAAAAAAGTTCTGTTAAGGGGATTTAGTGTACTTTGTGGTGTGGAGAGAAAAAAAAAAACAGCTTTGAAACACATTAATTTGCAGCTGGTGAAACAGGGTGTACAACTTCATGCAGATTTCTCAGGGTTGTGTTGTAAAGGTTAGCTTAGATTATTTGCCCTACCTATGAACAAGTTAAATTATTATAAATATGTGAGAAAGTGTTCAGCAATGCTACGGAGGGGAACTTTGCAGTTGTGCATCCCGTTAGGCAGATGTTGGTCACCTTCTTCCCTTTTGGCTGCGGTGTGTCCATAACATGGTTGATTTGGACTAAGGAATCTATTACTGCCGACACGCTTCTCACTGTCTTACCTGAAGCTGTGGAAAATGGACATTTGCTGCCTGATTTATAGGGGGAAAAAAAAGAAGAACCTTTGGCATACAGGCTTCTCTAACAGCCCTGCATGCGATGTATTTAAGCATCAGCTGAGTAGACCGGTTATAACCGAATATATAGATTCATATGTTTTTCCCAAAGTACAATGTGAAACTTCTTGCACGCTCAACCTTGAAGCTGTAGCAGTTGGCAGGTGCCTTCCCGGGTATCTGGTAGAGCTGGTACTTCATCCACTCCGTTTAACGTGTTCCTTTGGTAACGCTTAAGCCACGTAGTCTTTCCACAGCAAGCTTGATATCCGTGTTTTGAGTTATCTTCTGAGAGAAACCAGGACCAACAATTCCTTTTTTTTTTTTTTTTTTCTGTAAGGCAATGTGTTAAATGACCACAAGCTACCCTTAACTTTAGTACATATGCATTTGCTGTCTAGTTTTGGTTGCTGACATTTTGAGAAATATGAAAATGTGTAGCCTTTTCTGGTACTTAATGTTCTTTGCACTTACTTGGGGGGGATTTCCAAGTCAAGCACATCTCTTAATGAGCTTCCCACCCTTGTTGCCCTTGACAGTTTAGTGGCTAAATTTACTTGAATGTTCAGGCTGCACTGAGCTCCTGATTCTTTTTCTGTTGTAATGTACATTGAAATAATGTAGCTGTCTCTTAAAGAG